GACGGATGGTTCAACAGATAAAGACGGAAAGTAAGAGATCACAAGAGAAAACTGAGCAGAAGTGGAAACCGATTAGAGGATTGAGAGTTGGGGGAGAAAAGAGAAGCGGAGAGGGAGATAGACGAGTGAAGAAATAAAACAGATGAGTAGAGAGACGGATGGAAGGTTAGAGGGTTAAAGCGGCCTGAAATAGTGGCCTTTAATAAGCTTCAGCTGCTGTTGGGTCTGACTGAGGGATCAGAGCCGCTCAGAGAGAGAGAGACTCAGAGAGGGAGAGCTGCTTTAGTGTTTTGGGTCAGCTTGAACTCCACAAGGTTTCTCCAACAGCGACACAATTTCACAGAGAAACTCCTCAAACCACTTAAAGACGTTTTACCTTCTTTTTTTAAGGAAAGTGAACTTGGGTTTGAACTTGCAGTTGACCTGCATGATCCCCCTTCAGACCCTGTGTCCATTACAATGGACGTCACTTGACAGGGGCTTCTTTTTTACTTTTTGCAACATTTAACAGACAAAAAATAGGTATGATGTTGTCATATGATGTTGGTATTTTGAGAATTGTTTGGACCCGATGTCCATTGAAATGGACAAGAAAAATAACAATTAAAGGGTTTTGATTAAAAAATTTTTTTTTATTGATTCTCATTTCTGGTTGCATTAAGGATGGGAAAAAGTCATTATTATATTTTTCACAACCTTGGAACATAAGGCGGGTCTGAAGGGGTTAAGATAAACATCTGCAGAAACAGCATACAGTTAAAGGGGCCTGTGAGAACTAAAGGAGTAGTTCAACATTTTGGGCACATCTGGGGGTTGACTATTTCTTGAAGGGGACAGTAATCTCGTATAACACCTTGATTGTTTTGAGCCATAACGAGGTTTCCATCCTCTGCACCGCGAGTGTTTCAGAAGCACAAGTTGACTACGTAATTATATGTGATTGGGAGTCTGCACACAGTGTTTAATTCAGAAAACTGACCCTCCAGATAACCCGCATGGCTCAGTCTGCTCAAAAATCTTGTATTTTATGTAGAGCAGAAAGTCGCTACTGAAACTGAAACTTCACATCTAGATGCCACTAAATCCCACATACTGGGAAAAGTGCTTCCTTTAAAAAAAAGTTTTAAAATCTTTGGATAGAGCTAGTATCGCACATAATGTCTTCTTGGTTCTTAAGTCTGAGAATATGTAATGTACTGATGTAAATGATCTCAAGTCAACATATTTTAACAGAAAGACCGTGCTACAGCAGTTTGAATGATATGTGCTCGATCCAGGCTCTAATGAAAGATGGCATTAAGTTGCATTATGTGGAAATGTATGACTGCTTTGACTGACATTTCTTTTTTTAATTTGTCTCCCTCTTTATACAAGTGCAATAATAAATCACTGCTGTACTCCTTTAATCCTAATCCCATGCACTTTCAATCTGTAAACTGTAACCATGTTTAAAGGCTGAAAGGTTTCCAGTCATTATCTGCCTCCAACTCTGTACCTACAGTAAGAGAGACTGGACCTTAGAGACCTGGAGGTTTGTGTTGTGGTTTATTTGGCGTGAGGAGGCGTGGATGGAGAGAGGACATTATTCATGGTTATGAGTGTCAGGACAGACCGGTCAGTGTCAAAGGTCAGGAACATGAGCGTGACAGTGAGGGTGGAGTCTATTAGGTTTCCATCTCATGTACCACACACATGTGTACATGAAAGTTAACACACACAGGTTTGGAAATAGTAGTAAAACTAAAGATGTCAGGGGTGATAAAGAGTGCAGGATAACAAGAACTGGATCTATGTTCTGAGAAACACTGGAGGTGAGGAGGTCTTGAGGTGGTTCTTGGTGACGTATCGTAGAGCAATCTCTCACAGGAAGAAAAACATTAGTGTTATTATGTTTGTATTCAGATAAATGCCTCACTGACATTTCAAATAAAATGTTTCCTATTTTTAGTTTTTGCTAGCGTCATGCGTGTCAGTCTCTGGGTCTGTTTGTCCACCACTTTGGTTCAGATTAAAATATCTCAACTGTTATCAGATGGATTGTCATTGTGCCCAGAAGATGAATCATAAGGACTCTGGATCCACTGACATTCCCTCAAGCTCCACCAAGGGCTGCTGTGAAGAAGGTCTGTTGTTCCTTGCAGCCTGTGTCAGGCTTCCTTCGGTCACGCTCTCTTGGCTCTGCCTGCCAGCACATTGTTTTCTACTTTCACTGTGAACGTCGGAGCGGGAACAAAAAAAGTTTCCTGGCAAAGATGTAGAACACCTGCCCTGAGTCCTAAATGATTTAATATGTCATATATGTTATTGTATAACTAATACTGATGCATGTAATGTCAGCAGCATTTTGCAGCGTGTTGAAGTGACAGTAATAAAAACTTCTTTCTTGGCATACTGAATTTTCAAGCTCATTGTGTTTTTTGTGTAAAACCTGCAAAGTAATTAGTATGAAGGACAAAACAATGACATAAGAATAAATAACTAAATGTATAAATAAATGCATAAATACATAAATAAATGAAAATAAATGCATAGAACTAGAACAATAGCTGTCAGATAAATGGAGTCTAGTCAAAAGGACAATATTTCCCTCTGACATTTACAGGACAAATGTAAAAATACCTCAAAAATGCAGTTAATTAACTAGCTCTGGAGCAAATAAACGTAATTACATTGTTAGTTACACACCAGTGCAGCAGGGTTAGGGGGGACAACTGAACACACACACACTCGAACAATGTAGGTCACGTAGGTCATGACAGGTGATTGTCCTGTACATGAGCGAACCAGTTAAACATCCACGTCCCATTTTAGACACTGATAATCCACTGTACACACACACACACACACACACACACACACACACACACACACACACACACACACTCCAATGTGGGCTTTGTTTTAAGAATGTGTGTTGTGAGAGTGTGTGTTGTGGACTGGACAATGTATTGTGCTGCCCCACGGTATAAAAAGTGTACATAAAGAGCATACATGTACAGAACTGTGTGTACAGGCAGGGATTGTATGTACAGAAACACACACATTGTACACACATTATATAACACACACACACACACACAGACCTGGTAGAGCTCATTGGCACACTTCCTGCACAGGTTGTGCTGGCAGGGCAGGATGACCACCGGTTTGTTGAAGAGCTCCAGGCAGATGGGACAGATGAGCTGTTTCTCCAGCGTTGCCAGCGCCGTCTCACCCTCTGCTCCCCCGACGCCCTGCAGGCACCTCAGGTCCGCCGGCAGTGACATTGCTGCTCCACCAAACTTCACCTCCTCCTGTCGACACCAGAATTTAATGATCCGCTGCTGGTGCCTTTACACATTTTAGACCTACTATAACCTGAGTCACTGCAGCCATTTGGTTCAGCTAAATTCTATTAAACTCCATTTAAAGAGACTTAGAAGTAGGGTTAGGATTAGGGGTTATCACTGGAACTAACCCCTAACCCAACAAATTACCATGTTCATGTTATTCTCTCCACAATGTTCATGCTTTCTTAACTCTTAACTCTTTCTTCCCCAAAATCCTTGTGGGGAAATGATCTCAAACTTGTATAACAACTAGGATTTTAAATAAAGTTTATCTGCATGGAGTTGAGTTGTGTTTTTTAATATTTGTCTCCAGGTCTTGCCTGCAACAGTATTATCAGAATACAATCATGTTAAAAAGTAAACTGCACTAAAAGTTCCCTGTGGTCGATTACCTACACGTGATTTGTGTCTCCGCTCTCTCTGATTTTCAAAACATAGTCCAGTGGTTTTCAAACTGTGGCCCGGGGACCAACAGGGTGTTTTCATTAGTTTTGTGTTTTTCTATTATTTTTTTATCTTTTATTTCAATTTAATTCAGTTTAGTCTCCATAGTGGTTTTGGTTATTATAATAATTGTATAAATAATAAAATAATAATAATAATAATAATAATAATAATAATAATAAAATGTAAGTTCACAGTAGTTATAAAAACAAACACACTCACATAAGCACCAATGACTCATCATGCTGGTTCTGTTGACGTATTTGACCAAATTGAGACTAAAACTAAAAACATTTTCTGTATATTTCTATTTTATTTTACTAAGTCTTGTAAGTACACAATATTGTTCTAGTTATTTTTAGTTGTATTTTCACATGTAGTTTTAGTTTCTTGTTTTACCTTCTTTGTTGGCCTATTTATTGATAGTTTGGTTATTGATTGACTATGAAGACTTTATAATCCTGAAATCATAAAAAATAAAAAGAACACTCTCAAATTGGGGGTCTGTGGTCTAATTTGTATCTATTGTGAGGGTCATTTACATGAGAAAGTTGAGCCCCTGATATTGTCTAATGACTGTAAACTAACTCATTTGAACTGATATCACATAACATGCAATGAAACAAACAGGCAACACAAGAAAACTCAAGCGAGCCGAAACACAACAACCTGTTTACTCACCTTCCTCTCCATCTGCTGGTGGTTGGTGAGTGTTCGGTCTGTTAGCGGTTACTTTCTCCCGTGTGTTTCTGCTTTGTTGCTACAGGCAATCAAATAATCATTTTGTTCAGATGTATTTGTGTCTCAGTGAGCAAATCCACACTCCTCTGTTGTAGTTGAGATCCTGCAACTGTGAGCAAAACACCAATAACCAAAGGAAGAGTTTGGATCTCTTGGAGGTCTTCAGTTTGAATTACAAAAATAGCTTTTCAGATGGCTTTGTGCAAGCACAGACTCTCCGGGACTGAATGAACTTCAATGAACTGCAGATAAAAATTTAGTTTACTTTTACTTTAAGTTGTTGGGTAAGTTTAGCATGAAGCTGCTGACTGTACAGAGCACAGAGGGCAACACTGTCTCAACTCTGGAAATCCCCAACTCACTCACTCAGACAGTCAGTCAGACAGGTTGAACATTAGATGTCAGCTTCATGAAGCTCAAGTGAGAATTTGTCTTCAGGTTCACTTTCAGCATTTGTTGCCTTGGAGAGACCTTTCTCCCGGTGTGTAGTGAGATAAAATCCCAGGTTCTGACGCTGAACCAGAGGTCAGGAAGCCACATCGAGGTCAATCAGTTCAAGAAAAAGCAAGTTTCATATCCGAGAAGAGATAAGAAGCAGGAGCCAGTTAGGGATCTCCACTCAGAGCTCTCCTGCTCAGCTCCTCTGACACTGAACGCTGACACTAAATCTGCCTGGACAGGACATTAAGGCAGAGTGTCTCTACCTTTTCACCTTTCAGTACTCTCCCTTCCTCCCTCTCTCGTCCTCCTCTTCCTCGCACACCCTCCCTCGCCTGTCCAACACTCACTCCATTCCTGTTTCTCCTCACAAGTAGTGACTGCTGTGTTTGTTTGTTCGCAGCTTCCTCACCATCCACAGCAATGTGTGTCTGTGTGAGAGGACACATGGGGGGGGGGTGGCTGATTTGAGTTTGAGGGGGGTGGTGGTTGATGGTCAGGTTTCAGCCCAGTGCCTCTCAAATGATCCCAACACACACACACACACACTATATCAGGCAGCGACTGGTATGTGGACAGATTAAGACCATGCCAAGCTGTGCTCTTTCTACTGTTACACACACACTCACTGTCCTCTTAAAGGTGCCAACTCCAGCATTTAATTATATTTAATATGTACTGATAATTACCACATTAATTTTGAGTCACTTTTATGACTGTAAGCAGACTGCAGAGAAGTAATTCAGCCTCTACAGGTTACTGAGAACAGTATAACCCGATTATAAGTTCAAAGTGTTGGTTTTGCCTTTTAGTCAACACTTTCCTTTAAAGGACCAGTGTGTAGGATTTGGTTTTCACATCATTTTGAGTATTTTAGTTTTCACCTCATAAAATGCCTTATGGTGTTCCACAGGGCAGTTGTCTTGGTCCTCTTCTTTTCTTCTTACACGTGCTTCTTTTTGGGCGATATCAATAGATACTGTACCATACTTTTATGGTAATTATACAAAAGTAATAACAGTGCTTGGGGACATAAATGCAAGCCAGTGCAGTTTTTAAATCCAATAAAGTCGCAGTGAGAAAAGAGACTCTGAAGCAACAGAAACATTTATTTTACAACAGTACATCAGATACTTCATTTACCCACACGTCTGCCTGACAGACGCAAACATCAGTCCATGCTAAAAACAGAAAACCTCTACGTCTCTATGTACTGTGCCACTGCGTGTATATACAGCAGGTCTGCCATTCTGCCACTTCCTTGTCAAAATGGTTCACATCTAAAAGTCTATACATCCCCTTGACATACCAGCTAGTCGTTAAATCAATTATTAAAAACATAACAAAAATAAAATAAATAAAATAATGCTTCAATATTATTATCATCTGGTTGCTATATTCACACTTACATAAGTTCTTGTTATTTGTCATTGTTTTAGATCTAACAATGGAAGTTTCTTGACTCTGGGTTTCAGGCTTCACGCTGCATTCACTCAGACACTGTTGCATGTTTGGTCAATAAGAGGAAAAATGAGAAACAGAAATGGGTTTAACAATGTGGCATTTCAATGGTCACATGACATGAAGCACGGAAACAAATCAAGAGAAAAGTGGTTAAAGCAGAACATCTGCAGGTTTCATAAAAACCCTTTAAAAGGGTCCTTTAACATTTTTTTTAAATTAAAAGTTGGATCAGAAGTCCGAATTAAAAACTGGAGGACAAAATTTAAAACTAACTTAAAAACCCAAACAAGCCTGTTCTGAACTGTTTAAATGTGTTTACTCACAGCTCTGCTTTGTACAGATGTAAGAAATAACTTGTGGGATTTGATGATGAAGACCATCATGATTTAGCTCCATTTAGGTCTCTTTTTAGACTTTTTATGAACCTGCAGATTCCCTTAAACAACCGTTGAAATTTGTGATTGTACGTTTAGAAGTGGAGGACAGCCATGGGAAATACTTCTTTAACTCTTATTGCACTTTCTCATGATATGTATAAATACATAATGAACAAAGTGTTTGATTGAGGAATCAAAGAAAATATAGAGAATAAATTAGCTTGTTTTTTTTAGTTTTTTTTTTTACAAAAATGAAAATGAAACACAAACAACCACAACGTTCCTGTATTTTCTACTATAGCACAGCTGGAGTGCTACTCGCGAGCAACAAATAAAGAAGAAAAAAAAAAAAAAGAGTGTGTTATTCTGGAAAATGATTCCCTAACTAATCAGTGTGATTGTTGTAAACTGCTCTTCTGTTGCTATAAGGATTGTGTAATCTACAATAAGACTTTGGATATCAATATCCTCCCTTCATTAACAACATAAATAAGAAAACAAATACAATAAAAAGCAGTTCTACAGAGACAAACAGAAGAAAGAAAGAAAGTGTTCAAAACTTCTGACCCACTCAAAGAAATACAGTGACGTAAAATCTAAACATACAGTTCACACGACGTGTACAGCATTTTTACTTTCTCACAAAACAAAATGAAAACTAAAAACAAAGAAAAAAAAAAAGGGGGGCTCAATCAGTGTGTATGTCTGCAAGTCTGCAACGAGAGCAAGAGGTCGCTAACGTACTTATAATGTTTCTACTAATAACACTGGACTCTGCAGTGGCTCACGCGTACAGCTTTCGATGCGAGCTCAATCCTTCATATGTGGAACGAGGTGAAACATAAAAGAAGGAAGAAGTGAAGGAGGAGAGGAAGAGAAGGTCCACAGCAAATCTATCATACAGTAGTGTTAATAACAAGCGATGCAACTAATTACTGCTACTACTTGGAAACTGAAGCAATGTCATGACTTTTTTCAGGAAATATCAGAGTAAATTATTGTGAGAAGACTTTTTATTTTATTTCCCAGTATGTTTTAGCATTGAGCTGTACTGTTTGTCTGCTGGCTGGTGTCGATTTCCAGATATCTGTTCTGTCATGGTAACACGCGTCAAAGCTGATTAAGATTCAGTCCCAGCAGTTTCTGTGTGACCAATGAAACGTCAGAATACTTCAGAGGCACAAAGCCAGCGGAAGCAGATTTAAGTGAGCAAAGGCTTTCAATGCCAGCGCGGCACCTGTTAAAGTGTGAGCTGCCCCTCTCCATATTGAGAGGGGCTCCTGCGGTGATGTTCATGAGGGTATTCGGGACAAATAAACACCCCCCACCCAGTCCTAGCCACTGCTCACTGAACATATGGACGTCAGATCTCTGACCTACTTCCAGCTGGCGTTGGGCTGAGAGAGAAACCTCAACAAGTGTTTCCCAGCGAGCTAAAAGGAGATTTAGTTTGGTTCTCATCCACCAGCAGAAGATTTAAGTTCAAGACAATAAAGGTAAAAACAGAGAAGTACATTTTCTTGTTGAAAAACAACATTTTGACGTGTTAAAAAGGTCCAGAAATTTCCACTTTTAGAAATGTGAGTTGATTGATGGAAGGCTGGAGATCTCTGTATACTCTCAACGACCATTGAGGGCAGAATATATACCAACACAGACGTGGTTCTGTCTAATATTAACTGTTGTGCGTATGGTCCAGGTGTACAGTGTGCATCATACACTTTGGGCTGTGTAAGTCCGTGGGGACACTAGTGAACATCGGTAGATCACAGATTGCATGTGAAAAGTATAAAATGTGCCATACAGATACAAATAAAACACACACTGGCTGCAATATCTATGCTTTTTCTTTCTAATGATTTTTGAAATGGGAAAAATAAAACATCACAATCTGTGTGCATACCTCTTCTTACAGGTAAAACCATCTTGTGATGCATTTAGTAAATGTGTCCCTTTTTAATTCTGTGCTTCTGGCTGCATATGACTGATGATTGTTATCAAGCATATTTGATATTATGGGTAATAAAACTGGCCTGAACTCCATGTTTGCTGTGTGACGTTGAAGAAGATCGCTCATGCTTTTGTATGGATTCTGTCTAACTAGTGTTTTCCTCCTTCATTTTTCCTTCCTCCTTCCTCCTTCACTCCACAATAATTAAAAATGTTTTTAAAAAATGTTTGTGCTGAGCAGTTGAGCTTTTGAGATTTGCTGGTGTGTGTGTGTGTGTGTGTGTGTGTGTGTGTGTGTGTGTGTGTGGGGATTATAATTACTGCTGCAGATGAACAGAAAATAACAGATGAACTGACAAGAAAGGTGTTGAGACTTCATCAGTCATGTGATTGTGGTGGAACCGTGTGTGTGTGTGTGTGTGTGTGTGTGTGTGTGTGTGTGTGACTCCTGGCTCATACTGTTGCTAATAACTGTAAGGTCTGAGCTTTATGCGAGTGTGTGTGTGTGTGTTTAGTATGCGTCGGTCCTGTAGCTTTGGTGGGCATCAGAGGTGAGCTGGGTGGTTTCTGTGGCTGTGGACGGCTGCATCACGATGGGCTCACCGCCATCTGGGGAGGACAGACAGACAGACAGACAGACACACAGACACACAGACACACACACACACACACACACACACACACACACACACACACACACACACACACGAACACACACACACGAACACTCATGTGAGAAGATGTAAACCTGAGCAAAATCAGTGTTTCTCACACATTAATTTCTGGCAGCCAATCACACTATCAGCACTGCCACAGTTTTCATTGTAATGTGCATACAGTGCATTGATTTGCTCAGACACCTCTCACCCTGCTCCTGCGTGCAGAAGGCCCTCGAAAATAATGATAAGTAGTTTTTTTTTATATTATCTGATATTGATTAAATATCAAAAAAGGACAAACTACAGAAGAAACAACAAACAAAAGAAACACTTACAAAAAGGGCAAATCCAGCCCAGGGTTAGGATTTAGCTCAAGTGTGTAAAGACGTATGTACTTTGATGTTTGCTGTGGTTGGATCAGAGAGGGTTGAACTTCATATTGACTGAAGACAGATGTGAGATTTACACATCTTCAAAAGAGACTTAAAGTTGTGGCTGGCATTGTAAAGTGTTCTATCCCAGTACAGCGGCAACGTGTGTCCTTGCCCTCACCTCTCTCGTCAGCGGTCATCTGGGCCTCCAGGTCCTCGGGGGAGACGTAGAACTCGGGTTCCTGGTCCATAGGCGGCCGAGGTTTACATTTACCGCAGCAGCAGTTACAGCAGCAACACAGGCAACAGCAGAAATAACAGCCTGTGGACAGGCAGCAGAAGACGAACAACGCCTGTGGGACAAAGAGGGAGAGACTGATTATTAAACAACCAACCGACTGATGAAGGACAACATGGACGAGGCAGAGAGATACACAATTCACACTTGTGCATATATATTCGTATAAGTTATGTGCTGTAAAAGTTAAAAGTAAAAATAACACACACACACACACACACACACACATACAAACATATATATATATATATATAACGTAATATTCAAGGCACAGAACATCCCTCTGAGTTCACTTAAAGGTTGGTCATTAAGAAAGAAAGAGTGTAGCACAGCTAGTTCACAGCCCCATCTGTCTGTCCTACCTTCGCCCACCAGCTGGACAGAACAAAGTAGGTGTTGACGTTCTCCTCTCCGAACTGCTCTGCGACGTAGAGCCCCAGCGAGCCGTATTTGTCGTAGATGTTCTTCTTGGTGCAGTCGCTCAGGATGGAGTGAGCGTTGTTGATTTCCTTAAACTTTTCGGCCGCGTCTGGGTTGTCCGGGTTCTTGTCTGGGTGAAACTTCAATGCCAGTTTCCTGTAAAAAGACACAGAGGTTGTTTTACTCATGTCCCTGAAATGAGACCCTCTGTGAGGTCTTTATGACAGCAGACGTTGCGTTAGTAATAACATTATCAATGACAGCATTCATTCTTTTTATCATTTTCACCTGTGCTTCTCCTACTGTAGCATCTAAATGTCTCCTGTGAAAAAGGCCTATGCAGTAGAGCCTGACCTATATATTGTAAAACTGGCCTAAAGCAGTATATAATGCAGAAAAAAAACATTATAATAATATATATTAGTGTCACTGCAAGGTTTATCCAGCAGAGTACGCTGTGATTTACAATACTGGGGCAAGCAGCACAGAGTAAGAGAGAATAAACTCTCTGCAATGGCAGCTAGAATTGGTTAACAGTGTATATGTTAAATTATTTAACTTGTTAAAGAATATTTTATTTGAATATTATTCCATTAATATAATTAAATAGAGTTAGAAAAGACCCTTCTGAGCACCCCTGCTTAATCCACACTGAAAAGACTTTCATTCCAGCTCAAACATTCACTATATTGGCCGCCATATTGGGAATCAATATCGGTTTTAAAGATCCCATATCGGTCGAGCTCCAACTTTCAGTCGGCCATATGAAGGAGGTTCATTCAGACCAAAATGTTGTACTCAAGATACTTAATAATTAAACACTAAAAACAAGCTGTGATTTTGGTTTTAAGCTTTTTATTCATGCAAAAAATAAAATAAGTAGATGTAATGCTTTAAATATCTAAAGTTACCCAATAAAAATGAGGGCAGCAAACTTTAGGCCAAAAATAGCAGGAAGAGGTTTTCATCTGGTTTGATGTCTAAGAGTGTTGTGAGCTTGGATGGATTGTGATCGAAAGGAATAAAACCACAAAGAACTCAAACATTTATTTTAGAGAAATTAATCTAGCAGTAAGTAGCAGAAATATTTAATGTAGACAAATAGGAACAGAAACACTCAGGTTATTTCCCCAGAGCTTGAGTGGATGGAGTGAAAGTGAAAGTGAATGTTTGTGATAAACTGAAGGATGAAGTGTTCCTTTAATGGTTGAGAAAACTCTACTAATCTAATCTACTTCTTAAACTTAAGTAACTATTTAAACCCTCTTAAATGAGCTGGAAAAGGGCTGTTTTTCTGAGCTCATTAAAAGTTGACAATTGGAGCTATAAAAAGTTGAGAGAACTTTCTCCAGTTCAGTTCAGACTGTCAGCAGTAACCAGAAGGTTTACATGAATCGCATTCCTTTAACACTCTTCATTTGACCTATTAAAAGAGTTGGTCACAGGCCTCTGGCTCCCTCTAGTGGTTTACAACATAAAACATGAACATTACAGGAGCAGTGCCTTTTCAAATTCTGCAGACTGGACCAAGAAACTGGAAAATTTACTTTAATTTCTGTATATTAACAGAATTTTGTGTTCTGCTTTTTTTGATTGTTGGAGGGTGTTAAAAATAAAATAAAGTAAAAATAAATCAATGGAGCAATAAAATCCAGAGGCATAATCTGTATGATTTTCAATGTAGCTTCAGTTTAAAGAAAAAGTAGACAATATAGCCAATAATGAGTTTCCTGAGGACGTACTCGGACGGTTTTTAAGTGAGTAATGTATGTGTGTGTGTGTGTGTGTGTGTGTGTGTGTGTGTGTGTGTGTGTATTGATACATACCGGTAACATTTCTTGATGTCCTCTGTCGTGGCGCTCTTGTCGACTCCCAGCACGAGGTACAGCGATTCTCCTGATGTGGAGAGAGATCTTTGTCTCTGCTGCTCCATGGCCTCTCTCTGTCTCTCTCTCTCTCTCTCTCTCGTTCCTTCTGTCACTCGCTCCCTCGCTCACTCAGCCTCTCACCTGTCAAGAGAACGAGAGAAGACGACACAGAGACTGTCGAGTTAAGGTTTTAAAAAAAAGCTGCTTTGTTGTTGTTTTTCAATAATCCTATGTTTTTACAATAAGACTATTTCAGTGAATCTACAAAAATGTTGAGGTGAGAGTTTGGTGCGTGAATCCATTTCTGTCCCCAAACGCCAGCTGACAATATCAAACTTGTCACATTTCAGGTGCAGGATGCCCCCTCGGTCCATTAAACCTCCCTGCTGCTGATAGAATTACACTCAACAGTCTTTGTCTCTGGCTTTTACAGAAGCTTAGACGGTAACAGAACCAGGCCTGAGTGTTTTTCACAGGGACGGGGGGGGGGGGGGCAGGAGACCGCTTTAGTCAAGTGTATTTAAACTGGATTTTATGTAGTATCAGAGTATCAGAAAAAATACCACCAGAGCACATTTGAAAGAATTTATCAGGAAGTAATGATCAAGACCATATTTTTTCCTGTGAATCACTTTGTAACCTTGTTAATAAAAGTGACATAAATAAAGTTTATTATCAAGTTTATGAGAGCAAACATAGCACTGATTTCTACCTTTAATACTGTGTGTTTATGGTCAGATGGTGACGGACTTTGTTGTTAATGGGTTGTTGTGGGATTTATATTTATATATTATTATTATTATTATTATTATTATTATATATATTTTAAGGTGGAAATTTGCTGTGGTCAATACGTGTTGCTACATGGGACAAAATCAAAACTTTTGATTTCACATATTTGTTCTATTTCTTAATTGGTTTATTTTCTTTTAAAAAATGCAACAAAAAAAACAAACACAAACATTTAACATTCATTTGACATGTTCACTATTATGTAATAATATTTACATTAAGCACATAGCAGCACATATAGCAAGCCCTTGTAACTAACAACAACAAAAAGGATGAACGTTTCCGCTGTCGCCTCATTACTGTAAGTGCTGTAAAGGAAATGATAAACCTGTGTGGGCATTAATGGGTTAACGGTGTGATGTGTACAGGTGGAGAAAGGAATAAATGAGTTCAACCAAGGTAAGCTAAGTTCATGTCACACAGCCAGGCAGGCAGGCAGGCAGGCAGACAGGTAGGTGTATAAAGGCAGAGAGCTTTATATTCGGTGTCCTGAACGAACCTCAGCTCTCAGTAAACAAGACGCTAACCGGAACTACAACAACCAGGAGGTGGCGGCGCCAACAGAGACACTGCGGTACAGACGTAGGCAGAAGGTGAGAGCAGTTAAGGTATGTTAACTGACAGGTAGGTTTAGGTTACTGTTGATACCAGGATGACATGCAGCAGCAGCGAACTAAAAGATAATCGGCCGTAAGCACTGAAATATTTAATCCTGAGCATTTTTAGTGCAACACCAGGAAGCAACAAACATATTCATGTCGCACAATGCCCCAGATTTAGAGTTCACCTAAATATAGATGAAGTTCCACCTCTTCTATAACCTGTGTCAGCTCTGGTACTGCTTCTGAAATATATAGTCCATCTATTAACTCATGAATGTACACTGTACGTGGGAGGTTCCCGACCCCAGGGGTTACGGACCAGTACTGGGTCTCAGAACTTTAACCACGAGGCCGCGAGAGAAACCGTATAATTTAAAAGATGAGAAATAATAAAACGTTATAGCCTATTGTTTGCGGTGCACTTTGAACTTGTTGAAATTCAAATTTCAGTCTCTGTTTAGTTATCACTTTCTCTTTTATCCCTTATGCCGAGCCTTTCCCGCCCCCGGTCTTCCTGCTCCGGTTTGTGTGGCTGCTTTCTGTGCAGGTACTGGAGGTGGGCGTGGCACACCTGGGGCCTCTAGCAGCTCAGTACTGGCTCTCTCTCTCTCTCTCTCTCTCTCTCTCTCTCTCCTCCCTGACACAACCATTGTGTCTCTGCACCTTACCACACTGCACTCACACTCTGCTGATCTCACACACTACTGTTAGTTTCCTTCTTTGCATTAATAAATCATTTGTTAACTGGCTTGGCTGTGACTGTCTCTCTCTCCTTTGTCGTGGCCGTACAGCCCGGTTTGTGACACCCTGTCTCTCTGTTTCTCTCTACATCAGCAATAAAGCTTATTTGTGTGTCAGGAGGATTAACAGACATCACACCTGAACTGAAACTTTCACGAACCTGCACGTGAACGCACAAACAGACGAATGGGGAGGCTCTCCGTCTAACATTTTCTTCAAGAGTGCGTAGTTATGCGTCTGCCCAGTCGGTCGGCCGGATATATAAAAAAAGTCTGTAGTGCAAAAAAGGTTCAGGAAATCTTGATGTAAGTGATGAAACTCTCCTGCTTTATTTACAGCATTAAATGAAGAAGTGGTGACTATTACACAATATGACAATAAATTATCTAAATACACTGCACGACAATACAACACAGACACCTTTATGCCCTGTAACACTTCAGAGACACAAACAGAAAGCTTGTTCAGAAACAAATGTGACTTAAATCATGCCTGTGAAATCTGTGTGTTAAAAAAAATATACATTTCAGTTATTGCAGATCTTACAAATAAAAAAAAAACAATGCTATTTCCAGATTATTCAAAGACTTGAATGAATTATGGGTAAATGACTTGCTACATGGGCTGATACGCAGCATGAGAAGATCATTCCTTCGGTTCCCGTTGTCTCAAAGTTCAGTGTAGTCAGTAACTTATCACCTCAAAGACAAATATAACTACCATTAAGTGCGGAGATGGTGGCAGTTTCATTTTTGACTGTCAACTGGAATACAGTATACTGCAGCATTTACTGGGTGAGAGATTCATAGAGCTATAAGTCTCATGAAGCTACTGTATTTTACAGTGTGCTCTGTTACGTTCCCATAATTTTACAGTCTGTGATAGACCATAAGTGTGGTTAGGTTCACTATCAGTGACAGTCCCTCTTGTCTTAGTGTCTGGAGGAGCAACTGTAATCTGTTACTGTGCTTGTTGCTAATAAAATGGCAGTTTAAAAAGAAAACACCCTCGCTTTAAGGGAAACGTACGGAAGCGTATTGCATTCAATCTGGTTTTTCTAAGTTATTTATTTTTTGGTTTGTTTTTCAGAATAATTTTTTTCTGTCTTTCGGGGTAATTTTTTTCCTGAATTATCCGCGAGAACCTCCAACCTGCAACCTGCAAGTGACTCCCTGACCACTAAGTCCTCAGGTGCCTGCGCGGAGTCGACAAACTAATGATAATACCATCTATATGACTTAACGACAGGACTATCTCCCAGTGTCTTAAACCCAGATCAAAGTAAAGCCTAAATTGAACTAAACAAGCCGGTCATGTTTGTTTCGGTTAAATCGAGCTCTCTATAAAGGAATGAATGCGTCTATTGTTTCAAATGCTCTCTAAACTCCGAAAAACACAAATAATTACTCCGAAAAACAAACCAAAAAATACATTTTCAAGTGAATGCAATACGTTTCTGTAGAAACACAGTTTGCAACAACATCACACAGGTAACTTATTTATCCATGCTGCCGTAGACACTGTGAACATCGCTCTCTTAAATATCGATGTCTTATTTTATTTAAGACGTAGAAGCTTATGTTACTCAACATTAGAATTCATGCTAAATCATCTGGTTAAAAAGCCTGATAAAATACATGTAAGAGTTGAAGGAGATCAGAAGACTCAGGGAAAGGGTACTGCAGGTCAGTCCACCCCGCAGAGGCATCATGAAAAACAACACTAAATCCACCCACTGTGGGGCCACGAGGCTCGCGTACAGCAGGCATCGAGATAAGCTAATTCAACCAGACCACTAACTCTAACAAACACAATCCACCCCTCCACAACAACAGCAGCAGTTACAGGGATTTAAAAAAAGAGAGAGAGTTTATCGCAAGACATGTGAATGTTTGCAGAACCAACTCTCACATTGGATGCTAATTTTTTTATATGTGTTATTTTTGGACAAAAAGTGTTGTTAAAGGCACAAAAGTAAAAGACCTCTGAAGTGAGCTGTAACAGAGCCCTAACCCTCTGGTTGATATAACCCTGTCAGACAGCAGGCGTATGGGGGTTAGCAGGCTTAGAGACCACAGTAAGCCAATTCAGCTACACAGACAGACACACAGGACCCGACTGTTAGACTTGAATTAACAACAGGAAAAAGGAGCTTCACGCCGTCTTCACACTCAGACCTGCACCTTTCTGATGAGCGATTATCACACTATGATTCCACGGGCTGAATATTATAATGAGAACATGGTTCCCATCACAGATATATCAGTGTGATTTACACGCGTATTAAAATACATTTTGTGGCGTACATTTATCCTCAGGGGACTGAAATAATAAAACCTTTCAAAGTTTACTAAACTAACTAAATGATGCCACTGAATGACCCCAAAGATTTCAAAATGCAACCGTCTGACGTTACGTTAAAATGGCAGGTGGAGACATAGAATAAGAATTTCATTGCATTGATAACTTGTTTATTTCTGCATATGACAATAAAGCCTTTGAATCCTTGGAAGAACATAACAAGAATAAGGCTACTTTCATATGATTTCAAGCAGTACAATAAGTCTAGAACAACAATGTGTGTCTGATGTGTTGCAAACAAAAGTATAATTTCCACATTATAATCCTTAAAGAGTCATCTACTCCTTTTACCTCATTAAAGATTACAGTCTATCAAAATGCACATTTCAGTTTATTTTAAGTTTCTACCTCACACTGATACACGTTGCATACTGGACCTGTATTATTAGGACCTCCTGTTCAGGGTATGGAGTGACATTTTTAGAAGCTGCTCTCTGACTGGCGATAAGCTATAATTGGCCGATAACATCAGCTATACCAATGTGTTTGCCAAGCTCTATCGCTCACACTATAAAACAGATGTTTGTTCTAAATCTGTGTGTCTCGAGTGGACGTTGGTGAGCGGGAGGAAGGTTAACTTTAGCAGATTGTCACTGGTCAGTTACCTAAACATAATGGGATAATCTTACACACACGGGTGAGGAA